ATGTCATTGGGCAGTGATGTCATTGGGGTGATGTCATTGGGCAGTGATGTCATTGGGCAGTGATGTCATTGGGCGGTGATGTCATTGGGCAGTGATGTCATTGGGCAGTGATGTCATTGGGCAGTGATGTCATTGGGCAGTGATGTCATTGAAGTGATGTCATTGATGTGATGTCATTGGGCAGTGATGTCATTGGGCAGTGATGTCATTGGGCAGTGATGTCATTGGGCAGTGATGTCATTGGGGTGATGTCATTGGGCAGTGACGTCATTGGGCAGTGATGTCATCTGGGTGACGTCATGGGGACGATGATGTCATCGGGTGACGTCACGGGTCGAAGCCACCCCTCCCAAATGGCGCCGCAGGAGTTTGGTGGTCCCAGGGTGGTCCTGCTGGGGGGCACGGGGACAGTGACACCCGGACACGGGAACAGTGACACCCGGACATGGGGACAGTGACACCCGGACATGGGGACAGTGACACCCGGACACGGGAACAGTGACACCCGGACACGGGAACAGTGACACCCGGACATGGGGACAGTGACACCCGGACACGGCTGTGACACCCGGACATGGGGACAGTGACACCCGGACACGGCTGTGACACCCGGACACGACGGTGACACCCGGACATGGGAACAGTGACACCCGGACACGGCTGTGACACCCGGACACGGGAACAGTGACACCCGGACACGGCTGTGACACCCGGACACGGGAACAGTGACACCCGGACATGGGAACAGTGACACCCGGACATGGGAACAGTGACATGGCTGTCACCTGGGCCTCGCACAGTGACCCTGGTGTCACCTGGATGTCCCAGGTGTCCCTGGTGTCCCCTCAGTTGTCCCAGGTGTCACTCAGGTGTCCCTCAGGTGTCACCTGGATGTCCCTGGTGTCCCTCAGGTGTCCCAGGTGTCCCTCAGGTGTCTCTCAGGTGTCCCTCAGATGTCACCTGGATGGCCCTGGTGTCCCTCAGGTGTCCCTGATGTCACTCAGGTGTCCCTCAGGTGTCCCTCAGGTGTCCCAGGTGTCCCCCAGGTGTCACTCAGGTGTCCCAGGTGTCACTCAGGTGTCCCTCAGGTGTCCCAGGTGTCCCCCAGGTGTCACTCAGGTGTCCCAGGTGTCACTCAGGTGTCCCTCAGGTGTCCCAGGTGTCCCCCAGGTGTCACTCAGGTGTCCCAGGTGTCACTCAGGTGTCCCTCAGGTGTCCCAGGTGTCCCCCAGGTGTCACTCAGGTGTCCCAGGTGTCACTCAGGTGTCCCTCAGGTGTCCCAGGTGTCACTCAGGTGTCCCTCAGGTGTCCCAGGTGTCCCCCAGGTGTCCCTCAGGTGTCACTCAGGTGTCACTCAGGTGTCCCTCAGGTGTCCCAGGTGTCACTCAGATGATCCTGGTGTCCCTCAGGTGTCACCTGGATGTCCCAGGTGTCTCTCAGGTGTCCCTGATGTCACTCAGGTGTCCCCCAGGTGTCACCTGGATGTCCCTGGTGTCCCTCAGGTGTCCCTGATGTCACTCAGGTGTCACTCAGGTGTCCCAGGTGTCCCTCAGGTGTCCCTCAGGTGTCCCAGGTGTCACTCAGATGATCCTGGTGTCCCTCAGATGTCACCTGGATGTCCCTGGTGTCCCTCAGGTGTCCCAGGTGTCCCCCAGGTGTCCCTGATGTCACTCAGGTGTCCCCCAGGTGTCCCTCAGGTGTCCCCCAGGTGTCACCTGGATGTCCCTGGTGTCCCTCAGGTGTCCCCCAGGTGTCCCTCAGGTGTCCCCCAGGTGTCACCTGGATGTCCCTGGTGTCCCTCAGGTGTCCCTCAGGTGTCACTCAGGTGTCCCTCAGGTGTCACTCAGATGATCCTGGTGTCCCTCAGGTGTCACCTGGATGTCCCAGGTGTCCCTCAGGTGTACCTGGTGTCCCTCAGATGATCCTGGTGTCCCCCAGGTGTCCCTCAGATGTCACCTGGATGTCCCAGGTGTCCCTTGGGTGTCACTGAGGTGTCTCAGGTGTCCCTGATGTCACTCAGGTGTCCCCCAGGTGTCCCAGGTGTCACCTGGATGTCCCAGGTGTCCCTCAGGTGTCCCTCAGGTGTCCCTGATGTCACTCAGGTGTCACTCAGGTGTCACTGATGTCACTCAGGTGTCACTCAGGTGTCCCAGGTGTCCCTCAGGTGTCACTCAGGTGTCCCCCAGGTGTCCCTCAGGTGTCCCAGGTGTCTCCCAGGTGTCACCTGGATGTCCCAGGTGTCCCTCAGGTGTCCCTGATGTCACTCAGGTGTCCCTCAGATGTCACCTGGATGTCCCTGGTGTCCCTGGTGTCCCTCAGGTGTCCCTCAGGTGTCCCAGGTGTCACTCAGATGATCCTGGTGTCCCTCAGATGTCACCTGGATGTCCCAGGTGTCCCTCAGGTGTCCCTGATGTCACTCAGGTGTCCCCCAGGTGTCACCTGGATGTCCCAGGTGTCCCTCAGGTGTCCCTGATGTCACTCAGGTGTCCCTCAGATGTCACCTGGATGTCCCTGGTGTCCCTGGTGTCCCTCAGGTGTCCCTCAGGTGTCCCAGGTGTCACTCAGATGATCCTGGTGTCCCTCAGATGTCACCTGGATGTCCCAGGTGTCCCTCAGGTGTCCCTGATGTCCCTCAGGTGTCCCCCAGGTGTCACCCCCCAATAAAGTCCCCAGTGCTGGTGACACCGCGGTGGCTTTGTCTGGGGGAGGGGACCCCACAATGGGGAGAGGGGACATTGGGGACCCCAAAAATGGGGATGGGACCCCAAAAATTGGGATTGGGAACCCAAAAATTGGGATTGGGACGATTTGGGGACCCCAAAAATGGGGAGAGGACCCCAAAAATTGGGATTGGGACCCCAAAAATTGGGATTGGGACAATTTGGGGACCCCAAAAATGGGGAGAGGGGACATTGAGGACCCCAAAAATGGGGAGAGAACCCCAAAAATGGGAATGGGACCCCAAAATTTGGGATGGGACCCCAAAAATTGGGACTGGGACAATTTGGGGACCCCAAAAATGGGGAGAGGACCCCAAAAATTGGGATTGGGACAATTTGGGGACCCAAAAATGGGAATGGGACCCCAAAAATTTGGATTGGGACAATTTGGGGACCCTAAAAATGGGGATGGGACTTTGAGGACCCCAAAAATGGGGAGGGGACCCCAAAAATTGGGATTGGGACAATTTGGGGACCCCAAAAATGGGGAGGGGACCCCAAAAATTGGGATTGGGACAATTTGGGGACCCCAAAAATGGGGAGGGGACCCCAAAAATTGGGATTGGGATGATTTGGGGACCCCAAAAATGGGGAGGGGACTTTGAAGACCCCAAAAATGGGAATGGGACCCCCAAAATTTGGGATGAGACCCCCGAAATTGGGGAGGGACCCCAGAGTTGGGGACAAAACCCCTCCAGACACCCCAAAATCGCTGCTCCCAAAATTTTATTTCCTGAACCTTTCCAGGGCTCCCCTTTTTTGGGGGGATCCCCCCAAATTCCATCTGGGAATCCCCTCCTTCCCTTTCCCGGGATTTTTGGGCTTTCCCCGCGTTTTTCCCACTTTTTTTTGGGATTTTTCCGCTGTTTTTTTCCCAGTTTTTTGGGATTTTTCCAGGTTTTTTTCCCCAATTTTTTGGGATTTTTCCAGGTTTTTTTCCCCAGTTTTTTGGGATTTTTCTCCCATTTTTTCCATGATTTTTTGGGATTTTTCTCCCATTTTTTCCATGATTTTTTGGGATTTTTCTCCCAATTTTTCCCCAATTTTTTGGGATTTTTCTCCCATTTTTTCCCCATTTTTTTGGGATTTTTCCATCATTTTTCCTCCATTTTTTGGAAGGATTTCTCCCGTTTTTTCCACGGATTTTGGGGATTTTCCCGCTGTTTTTTCCATGGATTTTGGGGATTTTCCCGCTGTTTTTTCCAGGGATTTTGGGGATTTTCCCGCCGTTTTTCCCACGGATTTTGGGGATTTTCCCGCCGTTTTTTTCCCAGTTTTTGGGAGGATTTTTCCCGTTTTTTCCCCGTTTTTCCTTTCCTTTTTCCTCCTTTTCCTGGGGGGTTCCCGCTCCTCGTTTTTCTCCTTCTGCTCCAAACTCTGCCGGATCCGGGCCTGGGGAAGGGGGGAAAATTCGGGAATTCCCAAAATTCTGGGAAGCCCTGAAATCCTGGGAACCCCCCCCCAGAAGTTTGGGAATTCCCCAAAAATCCCAGGAATTGCCTGGGAAACCCCTCCCAAAATTGTGGGGTTTTTTGGGATGGAGGGTGAGGACACCCGGAAATTCCCGAAGAATTCCCCAAAAAAAAAAAAATCCCCCAAAATTCCCCAAAAAAATTCCCCAAAAAATCCCCCCAAAAATTCCCAAAAATTCCCTAAAAATCAAAAAAAAAAATCCCAAAAAAT